TTTTTCAAATTTTGGTGAAAATGCTTGCAGACAAACACACCTCCATTCATCCATTCCTACATGTACAATTCAGTACCACTGGTTACATTCTTCATGTTGCATCATCATTCTCTCCACCTCGGCCCATATTGTTTCACCACATTGACTCAGACTCACTACCCCCTAAACTTCTCATCTGTGATGTAGAGTTACTGCTGGCATTTGGATCTCATACAGATAATTCTTTAAAAGAATGCAATGCTCATGGTGAATATTCTTTACTAATTTAGCTAAACTATTGCTTAGTTTAAAGACAGCCTCAGAGGAATATTTCAGTTCATAGTTTGAAGATTTTCTCAGAGTGATTAGATTCATAGGTTCTGCCAGTCTCAAACCTCCAGTTAAGTCTGGATTCTCTAAGAATTTAAATTTTTTCCCCATTTGATCAGGATTCATCTACTGATTCCTTCATTAAATTGGCCACCATTCAGTTCTGCTGGGCTCTTGGCTAAGGAGGCAATAGTTAATGGAGGCATTAGACCTGCAGTCCAATTTCTTCTCTGATTCTTTGGTCTCCTTCTTCCTCTGCTGCTCCATGCTAATAGAAACCAATTGTATTGTGTAGGCTGCTCCCAAGCATTTAAGATCCAGACACTATTTACTGCTAGAGAGTGAAACAGTAACTCTAAAAACAGTATTAGGCCAATTTACTAGACAGTTCTACAAAGCCATGACTCTACCTTCAACTCAAGAGTACTAATGTCACCAGTAGGATATGTAAAGCCCTGGACCATGGGAAATAGAAAGATGAATCATAAACCCATGGAAATTATTTAAGCACCTATTTAAATGCCCCAAGGAGCTCTTGTAGCATAGTGCCTAAGGCATTTGACTGCTAACCAGAAGGTTGGCAGTTCAAAGCCACCAGCCACTCCACAGAAGGAAGACTGGGCAATCTACTTCGTAAAGATTTACCACCTTGGAAACCCAAAAGGGGTCGCTATGAATCAGAATAAACTTGATGGCAGTGAGTTTGTTTTTTTTTGACTTGGAAATTTCAGAGGCATTTCAAACTCAACATGTCTAAAACTGAACTCCTCTTTCCCCAAACTTGTTAATCTTCCCAGTTTTCCTGTCATAACTAGGGCCTCCATTCCCCAGTTGCTCAAGTCAGATATCTAGGAGTCATCTTTCAGGTCTCCCCTAAAAATCCACTCCATCAGCAAGTCCTATTAATTACACCTACAATATACATACATTTTTCATGAACTTCAAGGATACCATTTCTGTCATTTAAAACAGGGGCCAGTGAAACCATAGTCTAAGGGCCAAATCCACTCCACTGCCTACTTTGTATGACTTTGGGGCTAAAAATGATTTTCACATTTTTATATGGTTGAAAAAAATTGAAAGAATATTTCACACATGACATATGAGAGTTCTGGTAAGATGGCGGAATAGGCAGAAAGACTCACAGACCCTCTTCGACAAAGAAAATGGGAACCAATTAATACAGATACAGAAGATAATCCTGGACCCCTGAGCCTTGAAGGGAAGGATATACAAGTGGACTAATCCCCAACTAGCAGAAGAATTTGCATGAAAACATCAAAAAAAGGACACATAGAGCTGTGGTGTGGCAGCAATCCTGACGGCACAGACAGCTTGGATATTGCCGAGTGGTGGTAGGATCTAAGAATTAACCTAAAAATCAGCCCTGCTAGCCAAGGACTGCATGGAGGACTACTCTGGTGGCTGGGGAATAAAAGGAGAAGTAGCAAAGAGGAAGGCAGGCTGAGCTATGGACTTTTGTCTGTCCAGAGGGCACAGCTATTCTGAATGTTTACAAGTGGTTTGACCATTTTGGATATTTAAAGCGACAGTGTTCTCCCAGATTCCAGGGACTTAAGAACAGGCTCCACTTGCCAGGAACCCCAAGGACAGTCCGAACCTGGACAACTAGAAAGGTGCGACAGGCCCCTTGTTACTCTTATACCCCATACCCTCTTGGTGAACGGAGGTGCAGCCATCCCTCACTCCCACCCACTTTCTGGGCCAGCAGGAATTCCATCCCAGTCTGTGTGCTTGGATGGACCCTGGGCACCCTGATCTGTCTCGATTTTTTTTTTTTTTTCTTTTTTCTGTTTTTTAGTTTGTTTGTTTTTGTCTGTTTTAAAACTACTACTATTATTATTACTTTTGTCCTTTTTACTATTATTCTTTATTCTTCCCCTCCCAGGTTCTAGTTTTCAGCTTTTTTTCTTTTCCCTGTTCCTGGTTGCAATTTTTGTTTTCTTTCGTTAACCCCGTTTTTCCCATTTGCGTTTTTCCCATTTTTTTCTTCATTATTCTCTTTCTCTACCTTTTTTCTCTTATTGACCTCTTCCCAGATATTGCAGGCTTTTTTTCCCCTTATTTTTCCCTTTTTTGGTTACTGTTCCTGTGTAATTACATCGTGTATTTTTTGTCCATGTGCCATTACTTTTTTGATGGTTATTCAACTGGTATTTTTGTCTCACTGAATGGGAGACAAGAAGAGTGCCTGTGATAGTTGGAGCTGTGTGTCAACTTGGCTGGACCCCAGTTCTCTGTGGTTGTTCCCATGGTGGGATCAGATGACTGAGTTCTGAGTGGCCAGTCTGCCCAAGGGGAGTTTCCCTAGGGGTGTGGCCTGCTTGCAATGATATCCAAGGCAATCTGGAAGAACGGCATTCCTTAAGGAATTGGAACCCTGGTGTGC